TATATATATATATATATATATATATATATATATATATATATATATATATATATATATATATATATATATATATATATATATATATATATATATATATATATATATATATATATATATATATATATATATATATATATATATATATATATATATATATATATATATATATATATATATATATATATATATATATATATATATATATATATATATATATATATATATATATATATATATATATATATATATATATATATATATATATATATATATATATATATATATATATATATATATATATATATATATATATATATATATATATATATATATATATATATATATATATATATATATATATATATATATATATATATATGTATAAACAATTAAACAATTAAATCATCTCTGAATATTTTGAATTATTTGAAGATTGTATAATTAGATTCCAAGGATAGGCATACGAAGCTATTTTAGAATCATTTCTATACCTTGTGATTGACTTGGAGTTAATATTAAGTATCATATGTATACTTTGTCATTGTTCTCTTACATGATTTTCTTGTCTTTATATAAGATCACTCTAGCATACATAGTTAATAGTGCCTGAAAACATTGAACATAGAACATTGAACCAAAATAATCTGATGTTAATATGTAAACTTTATGCGTGGAATCCTATATTTTAGGATCCTATAGAATAAAATCTATGTATGCGCATGAATTTCAATATTTATTGACCTTTGAACAAAAGATGATACTTTGTCAAACAAACAATAAAATGGTACAGTGTAATCATTAAAGCAAAATGTTTATTATCTTTTGCTGTTCGCACAAACATGGTGTTTTGAAATAAATCAATTAAACTTTATAATTATTTTCTATATGTATAAAATTAATAATTAAATAATCATTGTTAATACAAGCTTGTAATATCTTACGTTCGTGAGGAACCTTACCGATTAAAATAATTAAATTGTCAAAGAAATAACTGCAATTCTAATATCCATAAAAATATATTTTTATTTTAAAAATTGAACTTTTACATGAAGTAAATTTGCAAATACTCAATAATAAATGTACCATGTTATTATATACTAATTATAAAATTGTTATGGTAATTCAAGGATTGTAGGGTCCTAATAGATTTTTAGTTCTACTAGGTTAAACTGCAATGTTGAAGTCATAGTTACATGAGTACGCGAGAGTTCAATTTTGATTAATTTATCGGTACATAGTAACGTAAAATTAACTCATTACGAGATTTCGTGGAATTTTCGAAAGAATAATGTAAAATATGTGATTCAGTAAGTTGAACAATCGATGAAAGGCAATAGAGAGGAAAAAGAGATTTGCAATTTATATTTCCGTTTTTACTTCGCATTTATTGACTGCTGGTAAGATACGTAGCTTTATCGGTCCAATCAACGTTTTATTTATCGACGATCGATATTTATTTTTCGATTTAGTTTCACGTGCGCATAAATTCCCTAGTGCTGTATCAGGTACATCTTCAAGTATTGATCATTGATATATTTGTTTATTTACGACTATAGCGACAAGTTTTTATAGCATTTTTTGAATAATACGAATATTAAATATATACATATTGTGAATTATAAATATCATGTTGCTCGAAGGTGCATGTTTGTTGCGACACTTGGAGCTCTTTTAAAGATTACTCTTAAAAATGTTTGTAAATAAAGTTCTTATCCATAGAAAATATTACGGTAATAAACTCTGTCGAACCTTCTGCTGTAATCAGACTTACTTTCCCAAGGAAACCTGATAAAAAAAGCATATACATATATTTGTCAGTTATGTAAGTATATTTTTACATTATGTACATTAGCGAGCATAGCAGGCTTCTCTGAAGAAAATAGTGACGCGGGGGAAGGAGGTTCTATCATTCGTGGCTTCGTGGTTGGTAAAGAGATTTTCGGAGATTTCTTCCCCTGTACCAAGTTTTAACCAAACGAAGCTCACATTGCATCGAAGTGTGCGTTTTTATTCGATGATCATGTATTGCAGCGAAACGGTTAACTCGATACGGGTCGACTCGAGAAGGAAGATTGGTCTTTATTACGCAACAAGACGGTGGTACCCGATATAGTTGATCCGTCACTGGGCGGATCTCGGTGTTTTCCAAATCAGCTGTTAGTCGCCGGTGAAGGGTGACTCGTCGTTGAGCGTAGTGGGGGGCCTCAGTCGGCTTCGAGACTTGGGCCGGTGCGCATTGTGTCTCGTTACTGCGCACCTTGTCCCACTCTACGTATTTACTTACGCGCCCGTAGTAAGCTCGTGCGCGCATATGTTCCTCTGGATTTCGTTACGTGCACGTCAAACACCGTTTCTCCGTGTTTGTGACCGTGTGTGACGTGCTACCGCTGCTCGAGTGAAAGTGAAACCAGCGAAGGGACTTTTCCTTTTTCCTTTTCTTTTTTTTTTCCTTTTTCCTTATTTTTTTCTTTTTTCTTTCGGTGGAAAGCTTATTGCACGAGACACCTTCGTCTCGATTCATCGAGTGCGCCTGAAACGTCAAGAGGAGACGTACGATCTACCGCGACACGAGTATCACGCACGCGAAAAGGCAGCGTTTGAAGTGCGAAGCTCAATTTTTCCTGTTCTTTTGCGTCGTGTCCGACTATGGACCTGTTATATAGCGGACAGTTGCTAGTCGTCACGTGAAACCATATGCTCGTAGTTACGTACGGATACACCTAGTTGGAAACTTCCATGTATCGATGAAAGGGGAACACCGTGGTGTCCTGTCGAAGCTTACCGAGTATTTAAAAATAAATACCAACGCGACGTCGCGTTTCGGAGAATAGTGTTCAGCGAACCGGGGAACACGTGGCACGGAATTCAATCGCGTTCTCCAGGCTGATTCTTCCTGAAGAGTGCAGATATTAGCGAAGGTGGCCAAGGCCGAGGCTTTGCTCTCCGTACAAGGTACGCGACTTAAAGTGTGTCAGTAGGATAAACGACGACGACGACAACGACGACGACGATGACGACGACTACGACGATCCGTTTCGTTCGGGACGACCACTTTTGCCTGACTCGGCGAAGGAATTGGAACACGACTGCATAACTAGAGAAAGGGATTGCGACACACGACTTTTGATACACATTTTCGCGTTTCGCGGGTAAAGAAAAAAGAAACACTGGTTGCTTTCGTGCGTTAATCGTCGTTGTTTTCCCTGTATCGTGTTGCGTCATCAGAAGGAGGTGGAGGAGGAGGAGGAGGAGGATGACGATGATGATCGACGTAAAGAATAAAACGAGAAAAAGTCGAATAAAATTGAAGCAGCGTGTACCAGTTTTCTGCGGATACAGGCGAATATCGGAGTAACCAGGTTAGTTACCGATTGTTCGCTTGTGGTATCCGGCTGTACGGATAATACGGTTACGGGTTAACCCAATACACGCGCGATATCGTTAACCGAGAAATGGCAATTGTATATACTGTCAACACGTTGATACATATTAGGATAGGAATAGATACGTTTAGGCTATTAAATCGCCCTTCAGTTTTACGTATAATTAGCACGGGTGATTTGTAACGATACGTCGTACATACATATATGTATAGTAAAGCATTTAAGATTTTGTTGTCGATATCGTGTTTTGCTTGGACGAAGGTTAGTCCGTTACGAAACAGTGGATAGGTAAGATGCGATATCACCTGACCGACTCGCACGAAACTTTCGTCGTCGTGAAAATGATAAGTTGCATCGTTGTAATATTAGACAGTTTTTCTATCGATCGTTTTCCTATAAAATTCCTGGAATGAATGACGTGAAACCGTATACAGGGATTTCGTATTCGAAGGGATCCGTACGTCGTTAGTTAATTGTACGTCTACATTTGGATAATGGTAATCGTATTACATACTTGTACGTCCGGATACCAACCGCTCAATCAATTCTTAAGCGAACATCCGGTTATCCGGTCTTCTGTACACGCAACATTAGATATTAGAGTCTAAGAGCAACGCTTATCGATCGGTTCTTATCTAACATGGAACGAACGATACGTGAAAAACACGATCGGTTTTCTCGACGTCGAGAAACTTAGCTTCGAAGTAACAAAAACTGACGAGGAATTCACGTGGTTGTTGGCCTTACGATACGTTCTCTTTATTAGCTTGCAACGCATGAAATTACATTTCAGCGTTTTCAACGCGTTTTATTCGCTTTAGAATTCGATTAATCGTGTGATGTATTCCTTCGTATCGAGTGAAATACATTAACTTAAGAGTTAGTTTAAGTAACCGTAATAACTTGACATTTTCTTTCTTGGCAATCGGTTAAAAAATTTCAGGACTTTGTTGAACGGGAAGAATATCGAAATTGTAGAATTTCAAATGTTTATTCGCCGATTAAATTAATCGAGTCAATTATATTTGCTTCGTAACGCGATACAGGGAACGATGAAATTTTTGTATAATTTCATTAGTTGACTTCGATAAGATCAAGTTCGCGAGTAAGCTACGATAAATAAGTAAATTACGTGATCTCGTCGTTAACTATTTAATTCGCTTAACCGAAAGCGCGTTATTACCGGTTATAAGTCGGCATTTTAGTAGAATAGAAATCTTTTCTCTTAATTTATGCCAGTTGTTTCTGTGTCAGCGAAACGATTCAGCGTAATTCTTAGTCTTACGTAAAGTAGAAACATCGTATACACCATATTATCCTTGTAAAAATGACTTTTCATTCTTACTGTTCACCAATTTCTTTCGCGCGATGTTTTTCTTCGTTCTTACGAATTCCTCGTCTAAATTCGCTGTGCAAGAAAAAAAAGAAAACAAACAACAGTTTCTGAAAGCGTCTTTCGTATTTTAAAATACCGTGTACAGTATTTTCGCGAAAGTTTCAAAGTCGAATGTGTCGAATGTGTCGAATGAACGCTCCTCCCGCCAAAAATAAATGAAAAATTTAGCAAATGTTCATTCGGTCGATTGTTGTTTGTATCGAAGGATCGGCAAAGCTGCGCGAAGAAAATCGCATTCCAAACCGAGGATTCTTCTTGTTTCGGTGAAAAAACGAGCAGTAAGAAGGAGCGTATCGAAGAGTACCATGTGAGGATCAGTCAGTCGACGTAGAAGTTCCATCGTTCTCGTCATCGTGTTCTATCGCGCGTTATGCAGTGACGTTGCGAATCAAGTTGAAAATCACGACATGCTGAAGAGTCGAGACTCGTCGAGTACCATGAAGAATCCGGAACACGAGAGCGGATATTTCGAGGACGGTAGCGACGTGGAGACGGTCGTCGAGGAGACGATAGTCGCCGAAGAAAGGAAGTACGGATCGAGTTGTTACGGACTTGCCAAGGGTATTCATCAACTCGACGTCGGGGATTCCAGTGACCCGGTTCCCGACCACTACGAGGACAGATTGAACAGAGGTACGACGCAATATGTTTTCATCCGAACTGACGATCTATACTTTCATCGACTATTGTCTCCCTCATCTAATTGCGATCGAAATCGACCTAACACGACAACAACAACAACAACAACAACAATAATAATATTAATAATCCTGTTTTCCACTTTTTTAATAATAAGAAACCTTTCTAATTCTCGTGGATAACAAGGGGCGCTTTCGATTTCGATAGAATTCGGGGAGAAACTTCGGAGAGAGCCTGGCTACAATATAGGGAAAACAGTTTGAAAAGCTTTTTCTGCCATAAATTTGTTTTGTAATTACCGAATCAATGATGGCGATAGGTCATGGCCAAATTGCACCGTACAGAGAAATACGGTTTGTTTACGAGCAGAGGACAGAGGACCTGTTCGGAGGTCAAGATCCCTATGAATAATGCTTAAACCGGGTAAACCCCAATTAGTCATAATCTGATCCTACGAGTAGGTTTTCAAACGGCAAACTTGAACGATTGCCTCGTTCCACATACGTATACCAAAGGTTGTACGGTGTTTTGCTATGGACGTTCCCGGTATTTCGAGGGGAATGAGTCACGTCGTGGGCGCGTATAATGCCACGTTTATTTCATTTTTCCTTAATAAGATCATTTTGAAATGGTGCGCCAGCGGATCGAGGTGTATTTGATCAATTTGTTGGTTCGCGTATCGCAATACCGACGATAGTCGAGAACGTTCTTTCTGTTCTCTTTTCCGAATTATTTGATTGAACGAAATTGGTGATGCACGCCAGGCACGGGTGACCACCATGGTTAGACAACGTGTTAACCGTTTAACCCCGTTTCGGTTAGCAGCAGAAGCTAGAAAGTAACGTGGCCCACGTGCAGATAGACACGGACTAGAAATTCTTTCGATCGTACGCTAATCTTGAAAGACGGATTAATTCGAATCGCGCGACCTATCTATGACCTGTCTATGACCGTTCGCAGCCGTAGCAGACGAGTCTCGTTTTCTTGCCAACGAAAGGGATTAAAACCCCGTCGGACAACGTGTTTTCTTCGACACGATTCGATTTTCGTCGACGCGACCGCAGCGATCTGGAGGAAATTGCACGATTTGATCGTGGGCCAAACACTTCTATTATTGCAGCTGTTCACAGACAGAACGCACGCGGTATTCCATTGCGCAACGCTGCCTCCAAGTGCCGTCATACTTAAAATTCATTGCAACAATGTTCACGATGCGTTTCTCTTTCGAAACGGACTATCGTCGAAACGTTGCTACGCTAGAGTCGACGATTTTTAACTAAAAGTTGAACAGTTAATTACGCTTGTTCGAGCAGCGTACAAACGACACAGTAATCCGACCACCGCACCGTTTCTTCCACCGCATTGCGCGCTCTTTTCTACACCGTGTGGCGTACACTTTTTTCTCGCGGTTTCAGCGTACGCAGTCTGGACATGGATCCAGCTACACACGCCACTTTCTCATCCGCATTCTTCTCCAAACGGTTGATCCCGGAGAAAGAGTGGACAGCAGACGGTGCATATAATTGGGGTCCAGTTTGCGGGGCCAGTTGTCGGTTACATCTGGTGTCCGTAGAACCCGTAACGCGGCCACGACGAAAAAGTAGTAACTTGATCTTTACGGATGAGTACGCGACTTCGGACGTGCGACAAGTGTCATCGAATTCACCCTCTGGGTAGAAACATTCTACATATACGTAGCGGGTAGAAAAGTATTTTCGGTCGATAGGCCTTCTCGACCAAACCAGAATCTCATCGTTCGTCCAATTTTTCCGCGTCTCTTACTTGCAAAGATTACCTCTCCCTTACTCTTTTCTCGGCCGATCTTAACATTCTTCGTAGATTCTCGTTGCTAGTGGAAGATCATGGACGCCGAAGATGATCTTGCATAGACTTTTGACCATGTATGTAAGTAGGCGTTTTTTCTCGTCCTTACCGCCGCAACGAGAGACGGCACAACACCTGTTAGACACGTAATACCTGCGCCTATTATGTCATAGCTAAAGCCTGTGGCCGTCTCTCCCGGTTGCAATTATGCTTCGTAAATTATTCGTCGAGCGTGTTATGTTAGAAGGTATGTTTAAAGAACAACCGCGACGATTGATCGTGCCACGTTGTGTAACGTTGGATAACCTTCGCGAAGGCTTTTTGCGTTTTTCGTGTTAATACCGTGGATGGAGTGGGTACGCCGCCACTATGTTGTTATCGATCGTTCGATACCGAGCATCAAGGCTACGACGTTTCGCCTTCAGATATATTTAATGAAGATCCTACTCTTTGTTCAATGAGATCTTTCAGGCTCCTACCGACCCAGTTTCTTCCAATTTCAGCACTTAACTTCATAGTTTTTTTATGGATGTCTTTATGTATTCTCTCCGAAGTGTTCCGTATCAGCTGGTATCCTCGATGCTTCAAGTTTAGAGGCTTAGAAGGTTTTTCATGGAAAATCTAACGAATATAAAAGTTGTCGCGCTAAATCTGGTAGAAAGTTAACTGGCTGTTGGTATTCGGCATCGACTCGGTTCTAAATTTACAACGAATCTAGCTACCATGTTGAATAACGGTTGATATAGGTTAGCCGAATGTCGGCATTGCTGCTGCAGCTCGAGTATAGGGGCTTGAGGACGTATCGATACCTAACGTTCGGCATCGACGTGTTCTTAAATTCGCGATAGCTAACTGCAGCGGCGGCGAAATGTTGGAAAAGGTCCAGAAGGGACTGCATCCGTAAGCTTCTAGCGACGATAACCGTTTGTAAATGTTTACGCGACGGAGGAACAACGGTAGCAGGCTTTAATCGGCGTTAAATATACGAGACCAAAGTCCGAGCATCAAAGTTCTGGGTCCAAAGTGTAAGTCCAAGTTCGTGAAAGTTGTCAAGTTGCGTGACCTATTCTCGACGTTAAATAATTCGTTGAAAGAACCTAGTGTTTTTTCTACCCCGGTGTCCTATCGTTGACTCGCTTGTTTGACGAGTTAGTCGCTGCAGTTGTTCCCGGTGGGTACAAATATACGCGAAACGCGATCTTACAACTTACTTACGGTGGAATTTTAATGCGACTTACTTTGCTCGGTAGCAACTTAATCGAACTCTCGGTCTCGCGCGCTCAAAATTCGACGAGAATACGTTTATAAGGAGAAAGCGTGCACGATGGAAAGTGAAAGATACGATATTGCGTTATCGATGCGATGAAAGATGCTATCCGATTTGACGAAAAGGTATACGTAAAAGGAATCGTTTTTATTTTTTGCGGAACTGTGTGATTCGATTCGTTCGCGTAAACCGAGGAATAAGAAATACTTTAACGCGAACTTTAATGCTTTAATGCGCGTTGCGTAATAATTGTTTTTTTTTTATACGAAGGAAACTGCACGAATGTTTGCGCGGTAAAACCGATCGACGATCGAGGACAATAGCGACAAAGTATCGGTATTATTTTAGCCGCGAAAGGAATTCGAATAATCGTCGGTATCAACAAGCACCTCGTTAAAGTATCTCGTGGCTCGTTTGTTTGTTAACCTTTGCACTGGTAGTAGGTCGATCAACGTTGCAGATTCATTGTTGGTTGCTCCGTTGCTCGAAATCGTTCTTGATCGTTCTTGATCGTTACTCGAACGTTCCAGCAACATTGTAACGAACGTTTCGGCGACATTCTGCTCGTACGTTGGACCTACGTTCGTGGATGCGTTGAATACCCATTGAATATCGTATCCGTTAGGTGTTCGTTCTTCGTGATATTGATTCGTTGTGAATTTATATTTAGACCCGACGCGAACTTGCCTTGGAAGAACGAGTTATTTATCCTTGTTTTCCTATTCGAAGCTCATAGAAAGCCGACCGTTTCGTTTCTATATCCCACCTATATTTTTAGCAAGTTTCTCTTTCGATTTAATCCGCGACAGAAGGAACATTTATCAACGATATCGTCGTTGCGTTCGAGTTAACGCGACGATACGACGCGATCACGGTACAATGCTGGACAATAACGCGAGTCTACTGTCGTATCGTTGAAATTTCGTGCAAATGTTCTCAGGAGTAGTGTTCGTTTCCGTGGTAACGGCGACATTTTTCTTCTTACGAACGGTGGACTATCGATGACGTTCATTTTCGTTCAGATCGATACTTTCTTCGCTTTATTAACTTTAAACGATCGCTTAAATCATTTTTGCGAAAAATTTCAGCGTTGGTTTAATCGCGTCCTTCGCGGTAATTGTTTCATCGTATTGCTCGAACGTTTCCTCGCGAAGGACTTCTTTAATCGGCTGCACCGTTTCCACGCCGGATTTAGACCAACCTTTTTTTTATCTCGCCTTAATTAAGCAAGGTAATAGTTGCGTACGTATGGTGAAACATCGGTTCGCACGTGTAGAAGTACACGTGCACGATTTACCTGGCGACGAGGCAAAGAGAGGAATGCGCGTAACGCAAGGCAGCAGTACCGTATCAAATAACGGTTGTGCCACGGTAAGACGAGCGCGGATACCTATTTTCACTGTTTTCGCGAACGGACCATTTGCTTCGAATTGTTCGTAACAATTCGAATTTCTAAATACGCTCGTACAATCTATCAACGATGCGATATCGCGTCGGCGAAACGATACGAAACAGTTTCGGAGTATAAAATGTTGCCTCGATTAAAAACACGCAATAATTCGGAGTACGTTTTTTCTCTGGACATTCGGATTTGATTTGGTTTGCCGAGCGCGAAGCACGCGCGTTACTTTGGTTCATCGCGTTATTTTTTTTTCCTAGCAACGATAACGAGCCCGACGATACGAATGACGTAAACATTTCAAAGTATCGTTCCGACTACGAGTCGAGAAAAACGACACGTGGTATACGAGGAATCAAAGTAAACCCATGATTTCGTGAAATAGCCTGTGTGCGACCTTTTCGTACGCCAACGTCATAGCGTCTCGTACACTTCGATCGGGTCGATTTAACGAACAATCCTGGCAATTTCAATCGTTCGTTTACGGTGGTCCTGTCGTATTCG